ACATCCTGTCAACGATGTTTAAGAGTCGCTCCACATTTTGGTCAACACTTGGTAGAGTCATTTTTGTTGTGCTTTTAATTTGCATTTCCTTGGTTTCAAACGAAGTCAAACACTTTTTCATTTGTTTTTGACCAGATTTCTTCACATGAAGTACCTATTTTAGATATTTATTTGCCCATTTGTCTATTTGATGATTTGTGTTTATCTTATTGATTAGCAGGAGTTCTTTATATGGTTTAGACATTAGTCCTTGATTGTTAAATGTGTTGCATATATCTTTTCCCATTCTGTGGTTCATCTCTTCACTCTCTTAATGGTGTCTTTTGATGGACAAATACTCCCAATTTTATCCAATTTTTTTTTCTAGTTGATGCTTTTGTGTTGTATCTAAAAATCTTTTGACTATGAAGACATTGTCCCATATTATTTTCTATGAACTTTATCATTTGGCTTTTCACATTTAGTTCTATAGCCCACTTTAAGTTGATTTTTGTAGATGGAATGAGGTTGAGATCCAGTTTCATTTTCCCCCCAATTAATATCCATTTGTCCCAGTGCCAGTTAGTACAAAGGCCATCATCTCTCCAGTGCCTTGAGATGTCCCTGCAAGAGAGTCTTGGGATGCTTTGTTCTGTTCTCTTTCATTTATCTGCTGATCATTCCTGGAGCAGTACCTCACTGTCTCACTTGTTCTAACTTTACAGTCAACCTCCCACCTTGTTCTTTTCTAAGAGTGCCTTGGCGATCCTTCTCTTGCATTTCTACGTATGTTTAAGTATCAGCTTGTCAAGTTTCACCAAAAAAGTCTGTTATGTGTTTCTATTGAGATTGCATTTAATCTTCACTCAATTTATTCAAAAGATGTGTCTTTATAATAGTGAGTCTTTACTCTAGGAATTGATGCCTCTCTCCATTTAAAAGGAGCTACTTCGGGCCTCCCTGGTGGCACAGCGGTTGAGCGCTGGGTTGTGAGGCTGCCCGCAGCCTCTGCAGCGCTGGTTCAATTCCCGGCTGCTCCCCGGCCACTGGAGGAGGGTCCCACATGGCGCGCAGACCTCTCCTGCCGCCCGCTGCTCCCCTCAGCAGTGTACTTCTGTCCTTCTGCCTGCTCTGCTCCCCGCTCTGGCTCTGGTGAATTCTCTCACCCTCCTGCGCTTCTGACTGTACCCAGTGCTTGTATAAATAAATAAATAAAAAATATATATTAAAAAAAATCTCAAAAAAAAAGGAGCTACTTAATTATCAAAATATTTTTGAGTTGAAATTCACCATTTCAATGACTTTTTTGCTGTAGTAAAATATGCATAACATAAAATTCACCATTTTAATCATTTTTCAGTATATAACTCAGTGTTATTAAGTACATTTGCAACAGGGTGGTCTCCAGGACCTCCCTGTCCTGTACCACATTCACATTGTTGTGCAACCATTACCCATGGTCTCGCTGCAGAACTTCATCATCCACACCATTTAAACAAACATTTTATCTTTTCACTTACTGAAGTTGTTTATACCTTTTGTCTATTATAAATAGTACTGCTATGAACACTGAGATACAATATCGTTTTTTGAATCTTTGCTTTCTGTTCTTTTGGGTATAAATCTAGAAGTAGAGTTGGCACAGTGACACAGGACAGGTCTCTCTTCCTGCCTCATCAGATAAGCACTCCAATCTGTTGTATTTAACAAGTTTGTCTTCTTGCAATTTAAGGAAATGGAAGAACATCTCTAAGAAGATAATAAGGAAGTTAAACAGGTGTTAAAGCAAGTTGGCGCCCGCCTGAAATCTCCATATGCCTGCATTAAAGGATCCTATCCCTCCTTTGCAGACCCTTGCTCAGCCCCCCTCTTTTTTTTTACTCCTTTGTATAAGCACTCTGCCAAGGAGCAGAATGGGGGTTCTTTCAGACACGAGTCTGCTGCCCTCCTCAGTTTGTTGATAAACTACTTTCCTTCTCAAACTCTGTTTCCTTTCATTGGCTGAGGGAAACTGAGGCTGGTGTTCAGTATCAGAGTTGCCGGATTAGATGGTAATCAGTGACTTTAAAGTGTGTTGTTCAGTGGTTTTTGGTACACTCCTGGTATGCAACCACCATCACTAATTTCAAAAGATTTTCATTTCCCCCGGCCCCCACCCGGACCCATTAAATGTCACTTCCCCAGTCCCTAGCTAATCTTCTTTCTGTCTCAGTGGATTTTCTTACATGTATGATTTCATGTAAATTCACATGATTTCATGTGAATTTACATGAAATCATACAGTAGGTGGTCTTTTGTTTTTTACTTCATTCACTTATATGTTTTTAGTGTTCACCCATGTTATAGCATTTGCCCATTTTAAAACTGAATAGTATTCCACCGTGGGCATATACCACATTTTACTTGATCAATATACTATATTTATACATAAGTTGATAGACATTTATCAATAAAATTCTATGTTTTTTATAGAGAACTTTCCCATATTTTGTTTTATTCTAAGTCACATGGTTTTGGATCCTTGTGAATTGTATTTTCACATAATGTGAAATATGTTTTTATGTGAAAATATATTGAAAATATGTAATTTTTTAAAAATATGACTTGTTTACTGCTGTTATATAGGAATATGTGGCATTTATTTGCAGCCTATGCATCTAAAGTTTAGTAAATTATCTTTTTTTTTTAAGTTTTATTATTTATTTGTTTATTGTTTGTTTATACAAGCACTGGGTACAGTCAGAAGCGCGGGAGGGTGAGAGAGTTCACCAGAGCCAGAGCGGGGAGCAGAGCAGGCAGAAGGACCGAAGTACACTGCTGAGGGGAGCAGCGGGCGGCAGGAGAGGTCTGCGTGCCATGCGGGACCCTCCTCCGGTGGCCGGGGAGCAGCCAGGGATCGAACCGGTGCCGCAGAGGCTGCGGGCAGCTTCGGAACCCAGTGCTCAACCGCTGCGCCAACGGGGAGGCCCAGTAAATTATCTTAATAATTCTAAAAAATTATTGTAGATTAGTTTGGATTTTTATATAGTATGCTAGTCATATTGCAATGAATTAATTTTGTTTCTTCCTTTCCATTTCTTCTGCCATTTGTTTCCTTCTCCTGTCTTACCTACTAACTAGTAATCTTAAGTGCAGTGGTTAATAGAAAAATTTTTGTAAGCAGCTTTGACTTCTTCCTGATCCCAAAGAAAAAGTTTTTAACCCTTCATTAACTCTGAGATTTGCTAGATGTATTCATATTTCAAATGACCTTTGTTCATGCTGAAGCCTGCCACTCTAAGACATTTCTTTGGTTTTACTTTTTGAGAGACATTTAGATGAGCTCCTGAGAGCACTTTGCTCTTTGGTCAGTTATTTTTTGATAGGGTTGAGGTATGACTTTTGAAGTCACACTGACCTAGGTTCAAATATGGTTCTGGTATTTACAAATGTCATTTTGGTCAGGGCTATAAATTCTCCTGGGGCAGGAACTGTCTTTTTTTTTTTTTTTTTTTTTTAAGAAATTTGCATTCTTTTTTTTTTTTAAAGATTTATTTATTTATGCATACAAGAGCTGGGGTGCAGGCCAGAGATGCAGGGGGTGAGAGAATTCACCAGAGACAGAGTGGGGAACAGAACTGGCAGACTGAGTGAAATACACCGCTGAGGGAAGCAGCGGGCTAGACAGGAGAGGTCTGCTGTGCTGTGTGGGTTGCTTCCTGGCCGGCCGGGGATTGAACTCGTGCTGTAGAGGCTTCAGATTGCTTCATAGTGCGGTGCTTAACCCCTTGCGCCACGAGGGAGGTCCAGGAACTGTCTTATTAATTTGATTCTGTGTCCTTAACTCAAACTTAATGCTTAGTACATTGTAATAGGGGCTTAAGTTGAAAAATGAAATTATTTAATTTCTCTGAATCTTAGCGTTCTCATTTATAAAATAGAGGTAATACTCTTTTATAGACTTTGATGTGATATTTAAAATGATATTTAAAATGATATTTTGTTTGCATGTGAAAAATAATAGTTTCCTTCCCTTCAGATTTACTTTTTTTAGCTGACTACATGAGTGATGGGCTCTATCTTTGAGTTTTTATTTAGCCTCATGGAAACTTGTGTATTGTCTTATTTTTTAAAAGTTAAAACAAAAAATCAAAAGGCTTAAAAAATTTCCCTGTGACTGTTCAATTAAATTAAATATTCTGAAGAAGGAGAGCTGAAGAGAATGTGATTATAGTTTGAAATGAACTGTTTCACCAAAGAAGTACCCTGCAGTTTCTGCAGCATGTTCCTTTGAATTAATCAACTTGGGAGAAGCACAGTACCAACGTGCCTTGAGATGAAATGGATTAATATTTTCCTGTGGGCACCCAGGAGTGCTTTCTTATGATTCAGATATAAGCAACTGGATGATGGTAGTTTTGCTAATAGTTACTATATTATTTTCATAAGCTTTAGTCCTGCATTTTGATGTCTGCTTACTGGTCTTTGCTATGGGCCCAGTTCCCATGTCTCTGATAGTTCTGCTGCAGTTTTGAAGGAGATGCTATCCATGGCATTTCTGTACCATTTGCAGGGTGTGTTGCAACCTCACGTGATTCTGTCAGCAGAGTCAGTGTTCCTCAGTTGCATTTGTTTTTTTGTCATGATCTGTCTCTTTGAAATAAGACATGATAGAGTGGAGGGGAACAATAGTGAGCAGAAGAAGGCAGATTTATGAGAGGCAGGTTATAAACTTGTGGTAGCTTCAGAAATGTCTATGGAACTGCAGGGATTTATAACCCAAACTAGTATCAGAATTCCCAAAGCTTACATACCTAGCTGGCTAGGTGAATGCATGTCTTCCCCACAATTCAGGGACCTAAGTCACTTCCCAATACTCATGTTAGGTGCATGGAAAGAGCACAAGTAACATGGTCTGAGGACATGGATGTTTGTTTTTCTGAAACACTTTGGGGATTCTTAGGGTTTTAGTCAATGTTTCTTACCTACTGTGAAAGGACCTTTGTGATTACTGATTAACAGTTGGCCTTTCTCCATTACAGATTGACATCAGCAAATGCCATTACTTAGTGGATTTGGACACCATAAGAGAAACACCCCAAGAGCCAAGATATTCATCCAATAAAGAAGAATGGATCAACTTGGCCTACAGACCATTCCTTGATGCTTCGAGGTATGTTGCTTTAACCCTGAGGGATGTACCAGGATTATAGTAAGGGCAAAAATTGGAATTGAGGATTGAGTAACTTCTAGTCCTGGGCTGGTTCTAATAGCCATCTTTTTCTTTTTATTTGGGTTTAAACACATCTTCTATCTCTTGTTCAGTTTCCTTAAAAATCTAAACAATCTCTCTTTTTTTAAACTTTGGTCTTTTTTTTAAGTTTTTTTTTTTTTAATTTATTTTTGCATGGAACAACTGGGGCATAGGCCAGAGGTGCAGGGGGTGAGAGGATCACCAGAGACAGAGTGGGGAGCAGAACAGGTGGATCTACTGAAATATACTGCTGAGGGGAGCAGCGGGTGAGACAGGAGAGGTCTGCTGCACCATATGTGGGTGTTCCCTGGCCAGGATCAAACCCAGGCCATCTCGGTGGGCCATGGTGGTGATAGCACTGAGACCTAACCCCTAGGCTAGAAGTTCATATTCCCTATTTTCAGGCTCAGCACTTGGTCAGGGATGATGCCGGCCTCTCTCTTCAGCACTTTCTGAGCCAGCTGGGAGCAGGTGACAGGTTGGGAGACTGTGCCATGCCAATGCCTTTCCTAGAGATACTAGGTGCTGATGCCTTCTCAACGTCCTGCTTCCCAAACAAGCTAGAATTTAAGGGTAGAAATAAAGCACACCTGGCTCAATTTGATATTGAGTACTAGCTAACATTTTAGACAGTGGGCAGAAAAGACTGCTGCCCTTGGTGAGGTTGCTTACCTGAGGAGATGCAGTCCAGAGGAAGAGCTATTGGAGTATAGGAGGGAGGGGTTAACTCCAGAAAGACTAGGGTGGGAGGCACCAAGGAAGATTGCAAGACAAGACCACATCTGAAGATTGCATTGGTGACAGTGTGGGAAGTGGATTGAAGGGAAGCATGGAAACAAGTTAGGAGGCTCTTCTGCTCGACTAAGTGAGAGATAATGAGGGAGTGATCTTGACTGCAAATTGGGGGTAGACTCAGGAGACAAGATGAGTCACACAGAAAAAGGTCAGGCCAAATTTTAGGTGCTAAAAACCCACGACTTTCTTCAGTGGCCTGTGTTTATTTTCCATTACAGCAATTGAAATGCAGTGCTAGTCTTTCCTGTGGATTGCTTTCTTTAGCTGAGATGCCCCCTGAGCAGAGGCTTTTGCAAGGCAAGCAGAATTGGCTATAGAGACCAGACCCTGACGTTACCACCTCATGTGTCCTGTTTCTTCTCTTGATGCCTGCTGCTTCTTCATGTCCCATTCACCCACAGAGTGCACCTCGATGGAGAGATGGGGGCAGTTATTTGGGAGTGCCTTCAGAGATTTTGTCCATGTCCCATAAGTAGTATTCAGGGCATAATTTTTATGCTAAGAAAGAAAGAAACCAATTGGTTTAAGAACCGAAAAGGTACAGTTCACCTGAGGGTGCCAAGTGCAGAGAAAAGAGCATGGGGGTCAGAAGGCTGCGCATATATTTAGTCCTGGCCACTTGCTGGTGGTTCTGTCTGCTTCCCGAATTTCCACATCAGTAAAACAGAGATAATAATATTTTATTTACGTTATGGGCATGTCATAAGGATTCATTCAGAGCAGAAACAAGAAAGTGCTTTTAAATCCTAAAGCATTATATAAATGTCAGGCCTTTCAGTTAATGACTAGGCTGCCCTGGGTTCCAAAATTATGCTGATTTCCTTTACATTTCTCTTCCTCAGCATTTCCAAGTATATATTGATATAACTGCAAAAGCAGCAGGAGCCCTCAGCCCAGTTTGCCACAGCAATTTATAACTGTCAGCCCTGAGACATCTCACGTTGCTGACTTTGGGCCGATTAAGTTCAACTGCACTGTCAGAGGCTGTGTCTGGGAGCCGGCCCGCGGAGGGGTGCATGGCTGTGCTCTTGGGAGCGTAATCCTGGAGTGCCTTCAAGCCTTTCCTCTGGCTTCTTGCAACAGTGGCTCTTGTGCCTCAGCACATGATCTAACCAGGAGAAATAGTGACACCACCTGCACTTGCTGATCACTCATGCCTTAGGCTTCAGACCAGAAGGGGCCAAAATGCTTACTCTCCGAGTCTTTCTGAGGAAGGGAGAAGGTCTTAATAAGCATGTGCTTTATTGCCAAATGAGCTTTTTAGCGTTCTTTTCTTAAATATATGGCTCCCTAAAATTTATTTATTTTTTTTTTAAAAGATTTTTTTATTCATACAAGAACCAGGGTACAGGCCAGATGTGTGGGAGGGTGAAAAGATTCACCAGAGACAGAGCGGGGAACAGAACAGGCAAACTGATGAAATACACTGCTGAGGGGAGCATCGGGCAAGACAGAAGAGGTCTGCCACGCCATGTGAGTTTCTCCCTGGTCAGCTGGGATCGAACTGGCACTGCAGAGGCTGTGGACAGCTTAACAGAGCAACACTCAACCACCTGCGCCACTAGGGGCTCCCTAAAATTTAAATCTATTTTCTTTATATTTACTCTGAGATTTTTCCTGTCTGCCATTACCTGTCCATCCATCTATCCATCCAGCTGACATCCATCCAATCAGCAGATATGTATTAATCACTACCCAGTGCTGTGATGGATTGTGGGTGTACAGTGATGAACAGCGTACACAAACTCCCCTTCCTCTTGGACCTTACAATATGTTGGGCAACTTGGACCTTGCAAATCAATAGATGATTCCAACCCGTGTTAAGTGCTTTAAAGGAAAACACAGGAGCCGTGTGGGAAGGAGTCAGCAGTGAGAGGCATCTGGCAGCTTCCTGCTGTGTCCTAAAGCCAGCTGATTAGGCAAGCTTGGAAATCAGAAAATATTTACTAACTAGCTAGATTATTCAAAGGTATAAAAAAAATAATGTGCCCTTACATAGTATAACTTTTCTAGTTATACATACAAAGCAACTTAGATACCAGGTGATGTGCTGGAACTTCAAAGAAAGGCGAGAACTCTGGAGGTTGGCATGTATCACGAAGGCTTCCTGAAGCAGGTGGTCTTCAGGAACAGGTTGAACAAGAAAGAATCATGTCTGTCATTCAGGAGAAAAAAATTATGAGGACAAATAGAAAGATAAAATAAAAAGAACTCTGATAGGCACGGGGTTAGTAAAGAATAGCTTAATTAACCTCTTTGGCTGGTTTAAATGTGCTACTGGGTAAAGTAACATATATTTATCATCTAGATCAAAATCTTTTGAAAGTAAAAGGGCCCCTGTCCTGGGCAGACTGAGATATATGGGCATCCAAAATGCAGGGTCTTGTCCAGAAAGCAGGGCAGGAGCATGGAGCACACAGATATATCTCCTTTGCCCAATCTGTGTTTGTCATATGGATTTGCCCATTGTTTACTGCTTGATTTAATTTGCTGACATTCCTTAGGGTAGCCTAGATGGGTCTCAGATGTCTGGAAGGAAACAATCTGTTTGAAGACATTATCAGCACTATCAGCACTCTTATCCCAAATGCATGTCTGTCAGTGGAGACTCAGCTCCAGAGAGAAACAACCTGAAGATTATCAGTACAATAATTTGATTGGTACAGATTTAGCAATTTTGATGATCTACAGATATGTGAGAAGGCTAATTTTCTGTTGAAGTTGTTGGAAGATAAGCAAAGCTTTTTACTCTCACATTAATGGAGAGGGACTGTCTAAACAGGGCTTGGTGTTGTCAGTTTGTTTGGAAAATGGTAGCCCAGATGTCCGTCCATTCTTTCCCTGATAGACTGCTTTATCAGAGGACTGGAGCCCCCAGATTCCATTTGTTTGAGAGAGGATCCAGGCATAAGACCTTAATAATCACTTTTCATTCACCCCTTGCACGGCTGGTACCATCGCCATACCTTCCTCTTGCTGAGTTTGCCATGTCTCTCTCTAGCTGATTGTGTAAAAGTTTTTCAAACTCCCAGGCTATGTCTGTCTTGCTTCCGTGTTCTCTACAGTATCACTTTTTTTTTCTCACCTGTGAAATGGGGGAGACATTAGCTACCTCTGTTATAAAGATTAAATGAGCCTATAGCCAGAGACTGATAGCTCAGAGATACTCATTAAAGAACACCTGTCATACCCTATCACTTTTTTAAGCCAGGTACACCACCCACTCTGTGGTTGTCTCGTATTACATACTTTCTAAAATCAACAAGGACTTTTCCTTTGAAGCGCAATATAATTGCTCCTTGTGTAAAATAGCTGGACAAGTGGGTGGATGTAATGTCTCCCGAGAGGGGTGTGAGGAGGGCAGCACGTCAGCAGCCCAGCGGTGGGTTCTTTCTCAGTGTGCTGAGGAGGTTTGGCTGTGGAGCCTGGTAGGAAATGCCTCTGCAGGATGTTGGAGTTGGCTCTGTGAGCAACAGGTCCTGTGACAGCTTTGGAAATAAGTCAGGAGGCCCTGCCACTGCTTCACGCTGCCTCTCTCTGCCCACTCTCTCCTCCTTCATTATAGTTCTCTTTTGTCTTGCTTGCTTTACTTTCACCTTTGGTTGCTGGATTGTGAGATTTTATTCTTTCCTGTTTGGGAGCATTTTAGCCTCATCTAACTGAATTTTAGGCTGGCTTGATTAGGGACTTGAGATAATTTAGAGAGATTTAGGTAAGGTGGGATTTCTAAGTCCAGCAAATTTATAATTCTGGTGAAGTGTCAGTGCAAGTGTGGCATTAAAAGCAACACTGTTAGCTGGAATGGTAGGAGAGAGAGGTTTTCTAGTCAGAGGGCCTCTATAGCAGTAAGGCAGGGCTGTGTTGATAGGCTCTGCTTGTGTTCTTTCACAGGAACCCACCAGAGTGCCATTGAGCTGTGGAGGTTTTTTGTTTTGCTGAGATTATGACTTTCTTTCTAGCTTCCAAGAAGAAATGAACCCAGTAGAGTCTGTGGCATCTGTCCTTCCATTTTGGTCCTATGTGATAGTCCAGTTGATGTCAGTCATTGTGTCCCCAGGCACTAACCCCAATGCAAGCAGAACTGATTATTTCTGGAATATAAAACAGTTGGAGTAATCACTGTA